GGGGCCCTGAAATTGGCCTTTGCTTTCCACATCTTCCCTTTTGCTGGCTGCTCTGCTGAGTCTGCCAAGCCATTCTGGGTAGCTCTGCTGGTTTTGAGCCTGGTTGCAGCTGCCCTGCATAGTATGGGGATGGCTGGTTCAGCTGAACAGGCTGTGAATGGGAACAGGCTGAGCAAGGCAATTCTTCCAGGGGAACCACTGCTGCCAAAACATGAGGGGCCAGGGAAGCAGGCTAGTCAAAGTGCCACAAGCTGAGCTGGCCTGGCTGCCAGTCACCTATCCCCACCTGGATCCAGTTGCCTGCTGGGCATGGCTGTTTGCTTTTAAGCTGCATCTCTTTCAGTATGCGGTACTCAACAGGACAGATGCCCTGGGCTCCTAACTCCCTGTTCCTGCTTTGCCTGACCCTGCCTGCCAGGTCCTTGACTCCTCCAGATCCTGTCCTCTGATAGCCAGCTTTTTGCTTGTGGCTTAGCTTGGCAGTTGCCCATGTCCTGGTCCCATACAGCAATCACTGTCTGTTCCAACCTGTCTGGCTAGTGGCACTGATCTGGATCCCTGCTCTCTGTTCCTGAGACCCCTGCCTTATAGACCTCGCCGCCTGACACCCCTGCTCCTGATCCCCTGACCCCCCTGCTCCTGTCTCCTGGGTTCTAGTCTGGACCCTTGCTTCCCTGACCTTGCCTGTTCCTGATCCCCTGGGCTGTGACCCTGATGGGTCATGCTCTGACTGCCTACGTTTCGGTTGCACCCCCTAACACAAATGGGGATCAGGTTCACAATACACATAGAACAGGGGCTCAGGAGAAGTGGTGCCTGATGCTCTGAACTCTCCCTCTGGGCCAAGTCGGGAGCTGCACTAGGCTCACATTAGGGGTTTCCAGCACTTCTGGGGGGCACAACCACAGAAACTAAATCCATGTCTCTCTCTTGCAGGGTTTCTTTGTGGCTTTCATCTATTGCTTTTGTAATGGGGAGGTGAGTGAGCACGGCTCAGCCCTGAAGTGTAGTCTTGGGATTCAGGTGTATTTCCTACCCCTCCACATGGGAGCTCAGCCATCACTGTAGGAACTATGGAGCCAGGCACATATCTGCAAGCCCAGGTGAAGCCAGGGGCTTCCCCTGATACTTTGAAGGAGGGAGGCCCTTCATACCTCATGGAACCTATTCTGAAGTAACTTGTGCAAAAAAGCCTTTTGATGGTCACATACCTCTGGCAAGAGGGATGGACCAGGACCTGCCCGACCCTGCACATGCACTGAGCTGCTGCCTGCCACACTTGGCCCTGGTCCTGAAGAACAGCACTCACCAGCCTCCTTGCTGGCACTCTCAGGTCAGGGACTGAACCGTCAGGCCCAGAGGCTGAAGGATCCTTCTAGCCCTGATAGGCGGGTAGTGGCGAGTCAGGTTAGCCTGGAAGTCTAAGGGCTGTGCTCGCTGCACTGTCTATGCTGGGCCCAGTTCACATGAGTGGGCCTAGTCCTTGGGTCATTAACCTGACGCCACACAGAAGCATGAAATTTGCTTCCCTGCTGAGCAAACACAAATGCCAAGCTGGCAGTCTTCAGCTCCCTGCCTGGGAACATGCCCGACCACATCCCAGCCCTAGGCCTACACCCACGTACAGCAAGGGAAGATAGAGTGGCCTCAGCCAAGCTCTTTGAGACAGATCCAGGCAGGTGCTGAGCACCTGCTTGGGTATGAGACCAGTGGGTGAAGAGGGCAGGTAGCTCCTCCTCCTGGATGCCCCCTACCTCCCAGGATCTGTCCAGTGCTGCACTGTGAAGTTCACTTGCATGGGAACACAGGCTTGGATTTTTCACTGACCACCACCCAGGCTTCCTGGTCACTGCCCCTATCTAGTCCACTCCCTCAATGCAGTATGCTAGGGAAATTCAAAGGGGTGAATGGAGCCCAGACTGAGGGATGTGGGCATGGGGTATGACTGGGGTAACAGCTGGAGGAATACCCACTTTCTGAAACCCACCCCTTATGGGTACCCCTAGAATCCCAATGCCACCCCAACCCCGATCTTGGAGCACTGTGGTGTCTGTGCCAACAGGGCCTGGCTTCTGGGGCCCAAGCAGTGCTTTCATCATGTTACCAGGCTCTGACAAGCTGGGTCTCTCCCCCAGGTTCAGGCAGAGATTAAGAAAGCCCATTTCCGGAGGAGCCTGGCACTGGATTTCAAGCAAAAAGCACGCATCACCAGCACAGGAGGAAGCTTTTACTATGGTGGCCTAGTATCACATGCCACCAACAGTGTCAGCATGAGCATTGCTGGCTGGGGAACAGCGGTGGCCGGGATACAGCAGAGCACCAAACACCATGGGCTGCCCCTATGCGCACACACCAACCTGCCAGGGTTCATCCCAAGCTCGTCTGCCTCTGACAATTCCCTGCCTTCTCCAGCCACAGAAGGCACCCAGATGGCCTCTGGGGAGGGTACTAGGGACTTCATGTACTCATCAGACCTGGTTCAAAGTCATTTCAGTCTGAACAAAGAGCTGGAGACCATGCTGTGAAGCATCATGCAAGCAAGTCTCCAACCAGACTTGGAAAGGAATTGGCTCTGAGGCTATAGGACTGTGAGATGTTTTGCCTGGGGTTATTATTTAGTGATGCAGAGAGTGTGGGAAGGGAAAGGAAGCGGGAGCTGAATCTGGACTTCTGGCCTGTTAGCTTGACTTTCTGGGGTGGATGGGATCAGGGAACTCACAGCATCATCTTAACTACCTGGCCTAAAGAGGTGCAGCTGCTTCTGAACAGCTGAGGGGGAAAAGAAATGCATCTCTGTAGCCCGGATAGTATCTGATCCAAACTTCTGCTTCCTTGGGTATGCAATTGGGCTGTGGTGGTGGTGACACCTGCATGCATAAGGCCCTGGATGGTCATGGGGAAACAATACCCTGCCCCATTTGCTCCAGTGAACCATCCCTTGAGCTGCCACCAGCTCCAGCTTCCCAAAAGAATCCAAGCAGCTACTTCAGACATGGCTTGTAGCAGTTGCTAAGCAGATCAAGTTGGCTCTTTCTGAGCAATTCTGAGCCACTTAACACCAATGAGCACAATGGCATCACACAGCCTGGGGAGCTGAAGTTAAGTGAACCTGCAGGATAAATGGTGTGGGAAAAGCAGTCCTGCAACTCAGGCAGCTACTAAGCTGGGTTCTGAACTAGCCATTATAACTCAGGAAAGAGACCTTGGAGTCATTGTAGATAATTTGCTGAAACCATTAGTTCCATGTGCAGCAGTAAACAAAATAGCTGATAAAGTGTTGGGCATCATTAAGGGAATTGGAAATGCAATGGAAAACATCATGTTATTACACAAATCCATGGTGTGCCCAGGTCTTGAATACTGTGTGCAGTTCTAGCATCTGCATCTCAAACAAGGATGTAGTAGAATTAGAAATATACAGAAAAGGGCAATCAAGATGATCAGAGGTATGGATCTACTGCCATGCCAGGAGACACTAAAAAAGCTAGGACTCTTCTGTTTGGAGAAGAAAAGACAGAGAGGTGGGGGATATGATAGAGGTCTATAAAGCCATGCAAGATGCAAAGTAACTAGAGAACTGTTATTCACCAAACCCCAGAAAACTGGAACTGAAATTAGCAGGAGACAAGCTTAACACAAACAAGAGAAAGCACTTTCTTAGGCAATGCACAGTTAACTTATTACCCCAGGAGGTTGTAGAGGCAGATAATATAGCCAGGTTCAAAAAAGGGCTAGACAAGTTCATGGATGATAGTTCTATAATAGCTATTAAAAAGAACAGTTAGGGATGTATCCTCTGGCATCCCTAAGCCAATGATGGTGGTACAGGAAGGATATGACAGCATAAATTGCTCTAGATATGCTGTGTTCATACGCTTTCCCTCTAAAACATCTATTACCATCAGAGATAGGATATTGGGTCTAGACTGACTGTTAGTCTGGCACAGTATGGCACTGCTTGTGTTCCTATGTTTGAGCAGATTATGAGACTACAAATCCCAGAATGCAAAGCTCCTTCCTGATCAGAATAACCCAGCCATCAAAATGGGAGTACTATGCACTGCAACCTATCTTTCAAACAAGCTCCACTTTCAGAACAAGGGGCAGTGGGGTTGTGCTCCATTGGAGGGAAATTAAAGCACAACTCTAGGATTCCCTCCCTTTAGCCAGAGGCCAGGGTAACAGCTGTGGTCACCCAAGTGCTGCCAGTCTAGAGGCTCCTGTGAAATGAACTGTTTGTTTTTGCCCTGAATCTTTGAACCACCCAAACTTTATATAAAAAACAACCAACATCTAGGGTGGAAGGGGGAAGTGGAGCCTGTGGCTATGGGCTGCAGAGCAGGATGGGGAAACGTGTTGGGGTGAATGCTGTTAACACAAGGGTGGCTGGTGTGTTGCGGTAACTACAGAAGCTGCTAATACATGATGAGGAGAGGAGGGGCAGAAGCAATCTCTAGCCACGTGCAGCCAGAGAACCACATACTCTATCCTGCGGGTACAGTGAGCACCATGTTTCCTGGTTAGTCCTTGGCATTTTTTCTGCCATTGTCTGAGCCACACCTCTGCTGAAACCCCTGCTATGTAAGGGTTTGTAGACTGCGAAATGAATGACTGAGCCAGTCCCTGTAGCTCATGTCCGTCTTTAAAGCCCTTTCCCTGTAAGGAGACTGGATAGAAACTTGGGCACACAGATCTACTTGTACCTCCTTCTTCCACTACGGTAGCCTGGGCTGGCACCCTCAGCCCTGCACAGAGTGGAATAGGGCTTGTGCTAGCAGACTGGCCCGTATATTGGCCTCACAGACTCCAAAGCGCTGAGGTGCTCACTGTCCTGTTATTAAATGACAAATCACCTGGAAAGAGACTCAATCTTACACTTAGTAAGACCCACTCCAGAGCTCTGGCTACCAATCCCAGGCTGATGGGATACAGGCATCCTATAGGAAAATCCTGATCATGCTGTCAGCAAAGAGCCGAACGCAGCCGTGCATTTCTGTAGCCCTTTGCCAAAGCAGCAAGCACGCTCTAGACAATTAATGGACCAAGCAACACATGCCAGAGAGAAGGGTGCAAGGACTTGGCCAGTGTGACCCAGCCTCAGAGCCAGGAACAGAAGTGAGAATTAAGATTCTTTCCCCCCTGCCCTGAGGACAAGAACCACTGCCCTCCACAGCACCAAAATAAATAATATCATCTACTTCCTAAATTGCTTTTCTTCTGTGGCTCTTACCTGCGCTTTACACATAGGGGAAACTGAGACCCAAAGAGTTTAAATGACTTGCCTTGGTCACTCATTAGGCCAGCAGTGGAGGTGGGAAGAGAACCCAGCCTCTTGGGTTTCAGTCTAGACCTCTCTCCACTATGAAACAAGAGCACAAACACCCAACTCTACACAGTCAGTCATGTGAGATTCACTCTCTGCTCCTTGAGAAATGCTGCTCTGTGCAATGCCCCAAGTTTAAGCTGAGAAAGAAAACAATGAACTTCCTTCCAATAAGCCCGGGAAGGAAACCCAAATAAGGTGATTGGCTCCACTCCGGACAGAATATCTACCATGGTTAACTAACCCCCTTTACACCCTCCAATGAGCCTAGGGTCCATGTATTTGAATCAAAGTGGTGTATATTTTGTTGACACAACCATAGTCTGCTTCTCACTGACATCTATTGTAGCTTCCTCTAGCTGAGCTATTGGCAAAATAATTGATTTAGCCAAGGGAGCAATGGACTTCAAATGCCATGTCACACTACATGTGTGGTCTACATGTGTTGGAGGCAGGGAAGAGAGGTGCCTGTGAGATTCCCTTCCAATGCCTCTGGTAGGCAAAGTGGCCCATGGTCCAGGTGCTGGCTTTGCTGCTCTCCTCTCAAGTTAGTGTCTCAAGACAACTTACTCTCCCTGTTGGATTTGCACACTAAAAACCAGCTGAAGGACAGGAAGGCAGAAGTGATGAGTGTCATGGTGCTGGTCAGATACCAAGGTGAATGATACCAGGCTTCATATTAATGGACTTGAGTATAGAGAGCATATTCGTGCACTAACAAAATTCACAAATGAAACTAAACTTAGAGGAGCTGCAAGCTCCACCAGGGCAGAAAAATAATCCAAAATCTCTTCAAACGGTTAGAGAAGGGAGCAGAATATAGAGCAACAATTGGTTCAGAAAAGCAATAAACATGAAATGCTCATGTTCGGAGACAAAAACCACAGTGAGAACAACTGCCCACTGAGGAGTTTCCTAGCGTGATGTGGCTGCCAATTATATATTAGCAGCATATTAGCAGACACATCAGAGAGAAGAGTCCAATGATCTGTAACACTGTTGCAACTGCACCTGCAAACCACATTTGGTTCTTGGGACAACCAGTACCACATTCAAAGAGGAGATGGGGAAATGATTGAGGGCTTGGCCCACCAGGAAAGATAAGAGAACTCAAACAGGACAGCTTGAGGATAACTGTGAGATAACAAGGGAAAGCAGGGATGAACAGAGGCAGAGCAGCATTCTGGCACCTGCTTTAGATACAATACCACAGTAACTACTGCTGTCACAAATCAAACCTCCATCGTCTTGGAAGAGAGGTTCCTGGAGTGTTGGAAGTGATGGTGGTAACTGTGATGGTCCAGGAAATGTGTGTTTTTATGGCTAGTATCTTTTATTGGACCACCTGCATGATTGGGATAGCTTTAAACAAGCTTTCGGGTATTCACAGTACCCTTCCTTAGGTCTTTTTGACAGCATTATGGACCATTGGAACTTTCTCTTACCTAAGGAAAGGTACTGCGAGACCTGCAAGCTGTCTAAATCTATCCCAACCATGCAGTTGGTCCAAAAAAAGACATAACCCACAAAACTCTTGTGCCTCAGGTTCCTGGAGAAACTTGAGCAGGGCCTCCTATATTAAAATACCTGATCTCCTGGAAGGGTTAGCATGCCTAAGCACACTCTGCTCTCTGGAAAAAGTAACAGCCCCCTTATGGATCTAACATGGTCTTGTGAGCCGATATGTCTAGTTTCCTGGCATCACTGGGTATTTGTTTATTTAAATCTCAGAGGACTGGTAGCACAGAAACCAAGGTGAGGAATTTGATAGTTGGATCAGAAAAGCCAACCGGTGGGTGAAAGACAGAGAAGCTGAAGTCTCTGCCATCTCCATGGTTGGATCCTGTGCTAATACACTGAGTAGCCTGACAGGAGTGTAAGAGGAGGGGAGGTTGCAGATAGCAGTTGCCTGCCATGCAGTTGCAGCTGTTTCTTTATGGCAGCAAGTACTGTTAGAGGAGCGAAATGATGGCAAGAGCCCCTGCACCCACCCATGAGCCCTCTCTGTCCAGTGGTCATCGTGGATACTCAATTTTTGTTGTGCTGCACCTCTTCCATACAACTGAACCTGGCAGAGCAAAGGCCAGTGCCAAACACTCCATGTTTACATTCATGGTGTGGGGCTTTAAGGTTTTCACTGAAGTGGCTGCATGAAGTAGCTCTCATCACCAGCTCCCAGGCAGAGCTCCACAAAGGGGCCCAAGGTCAATGTTTCAGTTGAGTTTCTTTTGGTCACTTTTTGTTAGTGGTTAGGAGAAAGAGGAAAAAGCTCCCCAAATCAGTTTCTTGATTAAAAAAGGAGCTGGTAAGTAAAAGCTCAAACCTGAAGTTATCCTGAAGTCCCAAGTTGGATACTGAGGTGCACACATAAAACAGGGAAGTGAAAACCAGGATATTTGAGTTCTCCTCCCTGCTCTGCCAGTGATTTGATACATGGCTTGGGCAAGTCACGGCTTCTGCGCTTCAGTTTCCTCAGCCTTTAGAGACACTGCCAACCTTCCTCACAGGGGCTCTGAAGGAAGTGTTTGTGAAATGATTTGCAATATTCTGGTGAAAGGTGCTGGAGAGAAAAATCCATGTCTTTCACTAAAAGTATGAGCTTGGAGGGGTGCGGGTGTCATATACAAAGTCTGCAGTTCTGTTAGGTCTCCTTCCAGAAACCCAAAAAACTGAATGTAATGAGCACGGAAACAAAAAAGGCACATTAGGTGTTGTATCCCAATAATAAAACATTTACTAGAGCAAGCAGAAAGTAAATGCACAGCTGATAAAGAAAACATCACAAGATCACAAAAACCTGACAGTTTCTGACACTTCTCCTTGTAGAAATAAGACAGAGGTGGGCATTGAACTGCTTCAGCTAAATATTTTTTTCTTACTGAGGGCAAAAGAAAAGTTAAAAAAACAGGTAATACACATGACAAATCAAGAGTTAAAACCAGTCAAGCGAGATTTTACATTTTGACTAGGTCTCTGAGACAGGATGAATATCTGAGTCAGGTCATTTTGCCAGTCACTGTTCTGGGGTCCCCTAAAAGCTTTTCAGCTGCAGGCCCCTTAACTAACATATAAAATCTTCCCCAGTTAGTCTCATCTCCCAGGGCAAGGGAGGGGGACGCTGGCCCATATTTAGCGTGACACATAGGAGAAGTTTTCCCTTTTGTCTGGGAAATGAACAAACCCTCTCACAACAGAGGGCAGAATAGGCACAGCAGAGACACATGCTATGCAGGCTTCCAAGGTGAAGATTTTAGGTAAGAGGGGGGGCTCATCAAAAATAAAAGCAGTGGGATCATTGTATTTGCTATTAACAGGATGGCGAATCGGGCCTATGCAAAATGTTGAATTATAGTAAGCTGGGCTAGACAAAACTCTTAACGCTGCCCAATAAAGATCAACCCTCTCTCTGATCATTATCAACACACATGTATACATTCTTAATCAGGAGGTGAGCCTGAGACCAAATTATTTGGGCGGTGGAGGGGCTGGGAGGAAGGGAAGCGGTGGAGGGGCAGGGAAAATGAAGGAACAGATTAGAGAAAACTCACAGTATCGCACAAATTGCTGAAAAGTTAATGTCTAACAGGTGAGTCCTGAGCATCTTCAGATGGGCTGGGCTTGTAAATGTGTACACTGATTTAAAAAAACAAGCCAGAATAAAACAAAAAACCCTTTAAACCTGTCTGGACAACAGTTTCTTAAATGTTTGCAGTGTGCAAAACAAATGACTGCTTTCTTGTTAACAGGATCTGGTTTTAAATCCAGCAGAAAGTCACATGAGCAATTAATTTTTAAAAGCAAAACCCAGGAAAGCTTTATAAAAATGATCTCTCTCTGACAATAGCATTGTGTGTACATGTCATTAGAGTGAAGCTGTCTACAGGCATACTGGCCCCGCCTCACACAGGAACTTGTATGGTTTCCTTCTCGCCCCCAGCTGCTCAGTAACCAGTTACCAAATACCAGGAAATCCTCCATAAAGAGACACCGCCCCCTGCAGGGATTTTAAGTTGCAATTCACCCACTTTTAACTGTCCCATCGACTCTTCTTGCGTTTTGGGGGCTCTGGGACAGCAAAACCATCTGACTTGTTGTCTCGGTTACCGCCTTCTTTCCTGTTCTCGCTGTTCTTGCTCTCGATGTTCCTGCTCTCATTGATTCTTCCTTCATTGCTATTCCGGGGGTCACCACTATTCCTGGGGTCACCATTATTACGGCTGTCGCTGTGTCGGCTGCTGCCGCTTCCACCAGCAGAATGCCGGCTTTCACTGTGGCGATGGCTGTCCTCTGCTGCTTTCTCCTTGTAGAAATGTCGGCCATCTCCGTGGCGGTAACTATCACCGTGGCGGCCACCTCCATCTCCATGACGCTGACCATCACTGTGGCGCCCACCTCCATCACTGTGGCGCGGACTGTCACTGTGGCGCCCGCTGCGGTTGTCATTGTATCTCTCTCTGCCACTACCGATGCCAGGGCCACCAATACCAGGGCTACCGATGCCAGGGCCACCAATACCAGGGCCACCGATGCCAGGGCCACCAATACCAGGGCCACCGATGCCAGGGCCACCAATACCAGGGCCACCGATGCCAGGGCCACCAATACCAGGGCCACCGATGCCAGGGCCACCAATACCAGGGCCACCGATGCCAGGGCCACCAATACCAGGGCCACCGATGCCAGGGCCACCAATACCAGGGCCACCGATGCCAGGGCCACCAATACCAGGGCCACCTTCTCGGTTGTTACTGCTGGTGTTCATGTTATTGTATCCCTGAATCCCAATGGGTGGGAAGCTGGGGACGCTGCTCAGATTCCCGGCACTGGTGAACCCAGGGATCCCCTTTGCTGCAGCTGTAGCAAGCTGGCTCTCAGGATTTGCAGCACTCTGCTGTGCTGAATTCGTTGGTACTGAATTCAGACTCCCAGCACTGGTCCAGCCACTGGCACCAGCGGTGGAGCTACCACTTTTTTGGTTGTTCAGGCTGGCTGCAATGAAATGACTCTTATACTGGGACTGTAAGAAATAGAAAGAGTGTTTGTCAATATGAGGTACCAGAAGAACACACAAACATCATGCACACATGGCTCAGACCATGACTCCAGGGAGCTTCAAAACAAAACAGGCTCCTAAAAGAAAGCTGGTCTTTTAGAGATGCTAGTTTTGTGCTCCTGACCAAGGCAGTGTGCAAGTATGCATGTCTGTGGGCAGCAGTTGCAAAGTAACTCCAGTACCATGGAGTGTGTACTTACAGATTTTAGTGAAGGGGTTGCCTTTATTTCAGAGTCTCTCACAACCGTAAGCATGTGAAGGTGCCAAATAATCTTACCAGAAGACAGGAGACCAAAGGAGACTTCTACAACAGTGCAGGACAGGACAGGGCTGGGTTTGGAGGAAGAGGCAGAAGGCAAGCAGGGGGATACTCGTAGTATAGCTGCACTGGTCAGGCTTGGTAGCAAAAAAGAGAGCACGGACATCAAAACGTCCTATGGAATTTGGCTATTCAAGTACCCACGTGAGTAGTGGAGTTCATGGCTGCACCCACAGGGTGAGGGACATGAGGATGATATGTCAACAACTAGTCCCCGAGACCAACCAAACTAGAGGCTTATCAGGGCTGAAGAACAACATTGTAACCACATAAAATGCAGGGACCTAAAGTTTCTATAGAAACATGAGCACTACTCAAGAGCACTGATGTCACACAATAGTAGAGCACACGCACCCTAAGGAAAAAAAAAAGAAGCTATAAGGTTAAGATATGGAAGACATAGGCATCAGAAGCAAAAATGCTAATGTTTCCTTCCTGCACTTTTCTCCAGAGTTTAATCTGTGGATCACAAGTAATTAAACTAACCTGAAATGCTGCTTTCATTGCAGACAGTCTGTCTCCCATTGCCCCAGTGGATGGCTTGTATGCCTCATAATTACTCATTACGTTGCTGTTGTTCCCACGGTCCTGAGGTGAAAGCAAAAATGAAATTGAATAGTTTTACCCAACCAAACATACTTTTCACCTCATCTTATGTACAAGCTCAAGTACTGGATGTTTCTCTGCCCTTGTAGGATGTCTTTCACAGAAGATCACAGAGCCACTAATCAGCTCTGAAATGCACACGATTGCTACTGACACTTTAACTGTGGTAAAACAGAAGTACAGGCATGAAGTAAGTAGGAGTGCACCGATAAGAGATTTTTTGGGTTGATACTGATATTTAAGGAGGCATTATCGGCCAATACCAATCCAATTTTCAATACACCATGGAGAGCTGCGTGCATCTGGTAAATCTGTT